GAGGGATAAGTTCTTGCTCGGTCCAACCTTCACCGTAGTAGAGAGAAACACGAAAAGTGGAGGTGAACGAGTTGGAGACTAAACTCTTCTTGGGACCGGGTTCATGCACCTAAAACGTCGCGAAGGAATCATCGAGTCTGGATTTAAGTCAATGGGTGCCTTAACCCCGTCTTCTTGCCAGTTATATGCGAACCCGGCCATTGGGTGAACCAGACATGCTTGGAAATCGGGTCCCAGGAGAATGGATCCTCTTGAGTATCACCTTTGGTTGGTGAGTCTCTTCTCCCTTTTTTTTTTTTTTTATTATTATGTTATACTTCCAATAGTCCAACTATGAAAACGGATGCGTGGGTGGTGGATCCTCACCGTAGACGAACTACCACCGCTACTACGTACTAACTATTTGAATCTATAACCGACTATCTAAGCATGGGCGCCTGACAATTCAGGCTGTTTACCTGGAGGATCTCTTTCCATGGTTCGGGACATTTCCCAACCTCTTTCGACATGGAGTATAAACCCCCTTGCGGGGACATTACGGTCCATTATCGACTGTCCTAGGTGAATACGCTACACGATCCTTACGAACATATTTATTCGTCTTGAAGATAGACCGGTGTACTTCAGGGTGTTGCGCTTGACATTAGCGTGGTCGTCGCCCGGACCCCCACTGCATGATTCGTTCTATTACATTAGCAACCCGACTACTCCGTAGTTAACTATACATATCTAAGATTAAAACGTCACCGCCATATGAGATTACGCATCGAATGATCACATCCCAAGATGCTTCGTTCGGCTGCGGTTCATGTTCCACGCGTGGCATGCCATGTAACAGTCCCCCGCATAAATGCCGTTCCGGCAACGGATCCTACTACGACCTAGGTCGCCCAACACGCTGCCGTGGCACGGCGCTGTCAAGGGAAGCCACGATTTCTGCGCCCAAAACATACATGTTGTAGCCGGGGAAAACAATCCAAAGACCGCTGGCCCACCGGTAAGCGAACGAAGTGAGGTGATGACACAAGAAGCTTACTTTGGTATAATCCATAGAAAGATCAGAGTTACAGCGTCGTTATGTCCAATGTTATCGAAGCCGGAGAAAGCCTCGTTCAGCCCTGGGGTCCTTGTAAGTACAGCACAACAAGCCAGGATACAGGATTCTGCTTGTCACCACCCACAGTAGAGGATAGTCTTGCTGAGAGTCGCCAGAGATGCGCTGTACGCGACTAGAAGGGCAATGGCTCCAGTTCGGCCAGAGACCACCTTTTCGGTTCTAAACATCCACCTAAGCCCCTTTTTGGCTTTGCGCTGCCCGCGACCGCCCGACGTTGAGACGCCGTACCTATACACAATCCAAAGGTAATAGATGTACCCGACACATTCCACCAGGTTCAAGACCGTCTGTGCTGCTGGGAACCCGTTCCGAGCGTTGAACGCCGGCCAGCCGTAGAGATAGTCAATGGTTCCATACAGCGCATAAGGAATCCAAATAGGGGAGTGCAATTTGTTGCCTGGCATGCTATGCGGCCGGAGCAACACATAGCCTGCATTCCAGATGACTAGCGGGACTGACAAGACGAGCCAAACGACAATGGCAGTCGACGGCGCATGTACCCATCGGTTTGTAGCGCCATCGTTGTTGTGAGATGGCGAGGAAGCCTTTCCCGTGGATGGAGGCGGAAAGTCGCGGGGATGGTGTCGCGTAGAAACCATAGCTGCAAGAGAATTATGCTGTATTGATACACTAGATAGTGACGCCCGCCCGAGCAGTTGAATGTGCGATCAATACAAGCCTAGAAAGCGTGAAACAGAAGCCGTCCTAGGAATCGGTGGGAGAGAGGGTAGAGTGCGACTATTGTTAGTTCTTGAATGAATAAGCAGGAGACTGACGGCTAATGACGTTGTACAGAAGGCGCCACTCCTCCCGATTCAATCTCCATTCCAGTGTATGGTCAACTTGAAGGGTTTATGGATCTTATTACGCATTCGACGGAGGGAACAGTGGTTCAACCCAGCCATGACCTGTCCGGATTTAGACGCCTTCATCTCCACTTGACTGGGATGTTCCCGCCGCAAGCTGCAGCAAAAATACCGCTATTATGATGCGCTGCTCCACTGGACCCAGTGATCGCTCATTGCTCATCACCTTAACCAAGCCCAAGTGTTCTTTCCCTGATCTGGTCAAAGAGATGATGTGCCGAGGGAGATCTTACTTTAACTACCGTTCCCGGTCGGGTGGAGTGAAGCTAATTTGCGACTAAGTCGCCCTGTCACGTGTCGATCTGGGCTTCTTGCCGTCCAGTCTCCAGAAACTGTAATTTCCTTGCCTCAAAAAGCATGGTACTCAGCCCAACATTACCATCTAGCTGCATAAACTAAGTAATGGACAATACCAATCAAAAGGTTGAAGCCCCGGAGATCTAGTACCACCCAGTCAGTGACTGAGTTGTCTGACCCCGTTGCTAGAAACTTGATAAGCTTGCTCGAGTTCGAGAAAACCAACGCAAGAGCCGTGCTAGGAAGCAGGAGCACATCCGTGGTTTGGAGCAGAAGCTGGTGGCTCTCCAAGAACAAGTCCATAAAAAAGATGTTGAGCATCGACTGGCTGTTCAGAAGCTGGAAGCCGAAAATAGGAGCTTGAAACTTCTTTTTTCTCGCTTAGGGCTTCCTACCGAAATCATTGCAGAATATGTTCAGGCAGTGGAGGACCCAAACATGGCCCAGAAGGTTGCCATTCCAGCTCTAAGACAGTCCCCGGCCACGCAGAACCAACGGAACAATTGTGGGAGTCCGCCTTCATTACCTAGGTGCCAGGCGGGTTCCGAGGTCCCCCACATAGTGGAGTTAGGAAGCTCATCAAAGACAGACGTCCTCCAGGGCGCTGCAAGGTCCGCTCAAAAAGCCAAACCTCAGGAGATTTCAGATCAACAAGTATCCAATCAACGTCAATCTATAATATGTGGTTGTCTTCCTGATGAAGCAGCGGGATCACGACCCACTAGTTATGATGTTCTCAATACGACCCTCTGCGCGATTGCGGAGGAGCTGATCAAGCAACATAACAGACGTGGCTTGGATATGGCAGAGATTCAGAAAAAGCTCTGGGCAGGTTTCTCTAATGGCCTTACAACTGACGAAGGATGCAGAGTGCAGAATCAAATTTTATTTCAGGTTCTAGATGAGATTAGTGGTGACTAGTTTCGACCTCCTGGATATCATCGTTTATTTATCATAAGCGTGTTCTATTGACCGCCACTACCAAGAATCCGGCGGTTCCATGCCCATCTTCGTCGTTTGGCAAGCTGTTTGGCAAAAATGCATCGTCTTCAGGGGACCGGAAACCTGACCAGAGGGCTAACTGTCACGACTGGAAACCGGCCACTGTCGACACACCAAGAGTATGGATACTGGTTGTATCGCTGAAGGAATTGCGACTGGTGCAACGATTGCCGCCCGCACAATCGAGTCTATGATAACTACGACTCCACAGCACTATTTTTTTTTCCAGCGTGCTCTTACCAGACCAGGGTTCCAAGACCTGTTAGTTTGCCATTGTGGAAGGAACCAACATTGCAGTATATCGCATCATACTAACCTAAGAAGGGTGCCACCAGAGATTCCTTTTGGACCAACGAATTTCTGTGTTCATCCACGCTATGAGGACTAATTAATGACAAACTGGCTCGGGTGGTATTCCACTAGTAAGCCACTAATACCGAGGTTAAAATCAAGTTTCTTGCGCGAACTATTGGTGGAAGTCTCATACTTTCATTGGTATGTGATCGGATACATCATAACAAACCGGCCGGTTGCTTATGACACCGGCAAGTACAGGAGCCAACGATGACGTTTATACATTTATGGGAGACTTACTGGTGGAGACAACAGTGTACACCGTTCCTTTTGTGATATGTACGTGCTTCAATATGTGGCGGAGATATTGCATTCGCTCAGTTGGTTTGCTTTATTGGTTCCATGTAAGGATCAGGCTGGGTGCTCAGAATCAAAGTCGGACTAGAACCCAACATGGAGAATAAAGTATAGCTTGGGCAATACCGTCATACGGAGTCCACAGCGATTCCAACCTGCCCTGCGATAGATAGATGTCACGTTACCTATCCTTGTTTAGTACTAGTCCCCCATTAAATCTAATGATCCTGACTCGAGGGACCTCCTACCGAGCGACCATCCTTTTGAACCAAACCAAGCATGCATGGGACGAACTGTGAGATGCATGCTGCGAACGAATTGCAATAAGTTCCCCTGTGAATATACTTTCGGCTTGACTCATTATAGATGGCTAAGGCACCGCAAGGTCCGCACACGGCTGACCACCGTTGGGAGTGGCTTGGTATTTTAGCGTGGTGGCCTGACCTGTGCTCACCAATGAACTTGATAATACTTCCGAGAGCAATGATGCCGCTGTTGTATCTGAACACACCATTTCAACCACTGATATAACATGCTGGGACTTGTGGCAAAGGACCCGCCAATCGGCCTATAGTCTCTTTGTATATTCAAGGAAGCAAGAGTGTTGATCGTGTGCTATTTCGGCTCATCCATCGTTAGTGGTTCAGAACGCTAGAAGGACGACGATTGACAAGACCCCCATTATGACAGCGGGGAAGAGCTTTGACCTGCAAGCCACTTTACCGCTAAGGGTGTCGCATTAACCACCCAGAATAACGGATAGTTAGTTATAGCAGCGCTTCTTATATAATTTCTTGTACTCTGTCTGGGCTTTCCCCCCCTTCTATGTTGCATCGCCTCCTGAGTCCTGACTTCCCGCTATGGCAAGAGACTAAGTCACATCGCGTAGGGCTCTTTCTCCACTGCGGGTAATAGGCAAGGACTAGCCAGCAATCAGTTAATACCTCCGAAGCTATTTGTGTGCGCTTGCAGTCTAAACTAAAAGTAGTGGTTCTTAGCATGTGGCACAATGTTTGAACGCTGGTTCTCCCAATTCTTGTCACCCACACATATATCATACGAAGAAAATGGGTGAACAGAATAAAAGAGTTGCCATTGTAACAGGCGCGACTGTAAGTACTTCGTTGAGTCAATAGAGGATGACAGATCCACTTACTCCACATCCATCCTCTGCTAGTCGGGCATTGGAGCCGATATTGCCAGTGACCTGCATTCGCGCGGATGGAAAGTCGCCTGTGTTGGCCGCCGAACCCAGGCTGGAAACGATCTAGTGCAGAGCCTGGGTGAGAACGCACGTTTTTTCCAGGCAGATGTCAGCAACTATCAGAGCCAGGCTGCCGTCTTCAAAAACGTTTTCCAGTTATGGGGGAGAATTGATGTCCTGTGCGCGAACGCTGGCGTGGGTGACCAGTCCTCGCTTTATCTTCTTAACCGGCGTGATAAAGGCGTTGAGGACGTCCCTCCAGAGCCGGACCTTTCTTGCACTGATATAAATTTCAAAGGTGTCGTATATGGCACTGTATTAGCAACGCACTTTATGCGGCACAACAGGCCCGAGGCGGGCGGAAGGATTGTGGTAACCGGCAGTATCGGGGGTATTTTCCCTCATAGAACGTATCCCGAATACAGTGGGACCAAGGCAGCAGTCAATCAATTTGTTCGTGGCGTTGCACCAATGTTGAAGGCCAAGGATAACATCCATATAAACTGTGTCTTGCCCGGTATTGTTGCCACGCCCATTGTTCCTCCTGAAATGATCGAGGCTGTGGCTCCGGAATGGTAGGTTCTGTCCATTCGAAGTCGTTTCGTTGCTTTTTCTCAGCTCTCTTCCCCATATACCGTACTCTGATTCATATTTGAGCGGTTGCTAACTTGAAACCCCATAGCCGGACTCCGATGAAGACGGTCCTCGACGCAGTCCAAATATTCTTAGAAGATGAAACGGGCATGGCTGGTGAACTGCTAGAATGCTCCGCAGATAAACTGATCTATTATCATCTTCCAGAGTTGGGCAATGGGCATATCACCAAACGGGCTGTCACCGTCTGGGAACCGTTGTTCAGGCTGGCGCATGGCGAGAACTCTGATCTCCCGGATGCAATTCCAGACATCAGCCCATTTAATGGCTCTTCTTTGGGTGCTCCACGAGATGCCAAGCTCTGATTTACCTGAGGCGCGGCAGGCCTTGCCATCAACAGCTAACGTACATATTGTGAACATATTATGACGACCATCATGGGAAGGATCTCTTCAGATTGTACTTAGCTTCTATGGGTTTCTCTACAACATATACCTCCGAGAGCCAACCTTAATTCAACATCGTAATTGAACCAAACGTTCGATAATAGCCAGGACCTACCCAGCTCGAGAGCATGGTTCCGCAAACCCACGGAACGAACAACACGTAAGCACCACTAAGGGGAATGAACAAACATAGCCCTACCAAGTCACAGTCTAAACACCCCACGAAACTTTCGAGAAAAGAGCCCCAAACGACCCTTACGTCAAAGATTAGTGGCAAAGCTCTTACAAACCTTTCACCAGAGCCCGGAGCTATATTCCAAAATGCTATAACCATGACCCATCCATTACCCGACAACTCACCGCAATTCCGCCGACCGACCCGGCCCGTCATCTTGATGCTCCTCGGGAAATCCCATGGAACCATTTCGCTGCCTTACCCGGTATTTAGCATGAATAGCCACTTAGGCTATTATGCCGTTCCCGGGTCATGTTGTCGATCTTCCTACGGTCCGATGCAGCAGAGAGAGAATCGGGATCGGAACTGGAACTGGAGCTAGGAACTTAAACATAATAATACCTATCGGTATTGGCCTTAGTAACGGAGAAGACCTTGAGAAATGGTGGTTGGAGAGAGAAAAGTTCGTCAAACCCGGTGAGCGATTGTGGAGGCCGAATATGTCTTTGTCCGGTCCTGGGTGAGGTGGGTATGCGGGAAAATGGTTTTGGGATTTACACTGTGCAATGGGGTACAGGGTTGTAGGTTGCTTTTTCTGGAGTGGAGCTTTGTATCGCATGTAGTTCGAAGTGCTATCAAGCATGTGTTGTGGTTTGCGTTAGATGTCGCGTCTGTATACACATTGTATAGATAAATCGTCATTATACTCTCCGTTCATGGTTTTCTTGATGGCGGAATAGTAGAGACCGATGAGTGTCTTGATTTCTGCCATTCCAAGTTTCATCTAAAGCTCATATTTGCTATGCTAGGCTCCCAATAGTACTAGCAGCAGGTCGAGTGGTCCATGCGATTTTCTGAAGTTAGAATGGCAATCTAGAGCCAGTACTTGTAGTAGCAAAGCCGAATCGTTCTGCATTGTCAGGCTTCTAGTACGTGGTACATACTGATCGTATTCTATGGTATAGTTCCATGATGGGCCCATCCCACTGCGCGTACTTTTTTTGCCTTCGTTCTTCATAGACCACGCTTAGGCACAATGCGTTAAGCTATATGGAAACAGTACATTCTAGAGAATTACAGGGAAGAAGCTACTCGGAAATGGGCGGCTTGCCAATTTGTTAGCCGTCGGACCCGATACAGTATCATATCGAATTTATAGTGCGGGTTCAAGCCCAAGCGGCGTACTCTGATTTCCCTCGGGAAGACAGCAGATGCATAAGCCCGGGGACACCGAGTAGACTACTCCGGTTAGAGCAATAGAATGCAACCTGGCAATGCCGGAGCACCGCCCAGAGTACCGTTACCCAGAGCCGAGGTGCCTGTAGCTCATCTGTGGAAACAGAAGCGAAGGCAAAGGGCAGTCTAGGAGCAGCCCAACACCCCGCGCGGTCAATTTTCATACCCAACACTTTTTATCTGAACTCTCCAGTCCAAAGTTACAAAAAATAACTCTAAAGTCGGATTAGGGCACAATGGGGTTGCCATGTATAGAAGGGAAAGGCACCATTTCCTTCTTTATGGCTAAACATCGGCAGAAGACACGGGAATCCGAGCGCCATCGGATTGCTAAAGTGCAAGTTGCGGTAGCTTCGGGGGTTGCGGCCAGTTGAAGATACTCCAGATCCCCGGTTACCCCACGGTCGTCGTGAAATGTGGGGAATCTTACTCCGAGTAAGTAGCGGTTCAAGATTTGCTTGCCTGTTTGCCAAGATCTAGGCAGTGGCTGGCTCATCTGTCTAAGTGACAACCGCACGTCTTGATTGTGTGTTCAGGCAGTGGAGTAGTGAGAATGACGTCAAGTTGTTATTGCTACTTGGCTTCTGAAGCCATATACTAGTTAGATGGGCAAAATGAGATGGATTATTAAATACCACCGAGTGGGGGTTGTTTACATGCTGGACAGACACTATGCACTCCGCAGTGCATTAAAAAAAATGAACTGTAAAACAGGCTAAATTGCGCATCCCGGTTAATGCTGAATAATGTAGCAGAGTACTAATTGCTGCTGTGTATGAAGTGGCCTCATACTGAGATTCCTGGTAGCACACTCACCTTGCGTGGTAATATATGCTATTGGTACAGACTTCAATATGGAAAAATATTAATACTAGTGTTGTTAAACAAATCGTGGTGTAGCAAGGAACCCTTCGCGGCGGAGGAAAAGCAATACCTTATTGTCTACACTCAAAACCCTCACTAGTCCTCCGTACCGGTGAAAACTTTCAATGATCGTAAAAAATGAGATTGTCGGAATAAGCATGAGGAAACCCGAGAGTCCTTTGACTCCTTTCACTTTCAACAATAAACGCCGCACGGAGAATTTGTGGATTCCCCACAACCCCGAATCTTCGCATTCGGACCATTTCCGGGATCATGCCTTCTACACACCGACGGAGAAGGTAAGAGGAGGCCGTCCGTGCCCCAGTACCGATTCTAGATGGCTCCACGAGCTTTGTTTCGAAGTTTGGATTAAGGTGAAACTGACAGCCATGTGGCAAGCGATCTCTACTGTAGACGGAAACATAGTTCATCGTTGGAATGAAGATCTCGAAGGCTCTGCAAGATCGTCCCGGGATGTCGTAGGGACCACATTCCAATTGTACATAGTATAGAAGGGCACCCATGCTACGGAGTAGATCTGTCGGGATTATGAACAACGCGAGCCATGCCGATGGATAGTATGATCCGTGGAGAGGGTTTGAACCCATCGGCTGCTAAAATGGATAAAATGATGTCGGTGTCTGGCCGACGAAGGCCTGAATCAGGAAGTAATGGAGGGCGATCAAGCGATGAAAGTAGACATTGGACTCCACTCCGAGTGCATGATCACAATCTATCGATCCCGTCTTTTCTTTTTTTTTTCCTTCTCTCTTTCGTTGCAACCAATTGTCCCAGCTACGGAATGATTTCTAATGTATAGAAATAGAATAGATCTAGAATCATGGTACAGGACACGTGCCCGCTACACCCCTTGCCCCCTGCCCAAGGGAATCTACTAGTAGGAGGCAGGAGAGACAGTGACGATCCATGCGACTCAAAAGTGATTCGGAAAAAGGTGAGCCAACTCATTCCCTTCCCCAGCAAACCCTTCTAAAGATCGGAAGATGCGGGGGAGGCTGGTCTCGCAGTGATACGGTAACATCACCCATGTATTGGGTAGACGGATGCGGAACTTGTGATCTTAGTCTGGTCATTAAGATTATGGCATGGTCTAACCAACGAGATTTTTTCTTTTTTTCTTTTCCCTCTCTAATTCACCTTTGCCATGAAATTATGGTGTAATGTTGTCTATTTGGTACTTTCCTGAATCCTACCTAGTTTAATGGCCGCCCAAGGCCAACTTTTTTTTTTTTTTGTTTTTTTTTTTTTTTTTTCTTTTTTTTTCCCGAAATGGATATTGCGTACAAACTAGGGGTAACATAGATCACATACTGTATCTATCCAGTTTTTGTCCTACAGGAGCATGCCTTGTTGTGTCTCAACTCCTGCGAAAGAACTGTCTTAACTTGGAAGAGATAGGCATCTCAGGGATCTCTATAAGGAGCTGGAATGTTAGACCAGAAATAAACTATAATCATTGCTGTCTTAACCCTTCGTAAATTCAGCAGTGCCTACTGGATATACAATATTGAGAAGGCATGAAGGGACGGCGGTTCTGTAATCCGATTACCAGGGAACTACCCCTGAAGCGCACTAGCGCCCCCAGCTTCCCCGTACTGGACGTACCTGATGGTCCCTTTGTTGTTCCCCAGTTTTCTTTGTCTTTTCCGGTGTCCAAAAGACAACGAACCAACGCGCGCCAGGGTTGCTGTTGCGGGGCAAATGCCTTTCCAACCGGCTCACTGGGCCACCTGATGGACTTTCTCAAGCCATGGCTCAACATGCCGAGCAACAATGTGCACTGACTGACAACACAGCAGTTACTCTAAGGTTGCTGGGCCGAGTACCCCGTTAGTTTACAGGGTAACGAATCGGATTGCCATTGCCTTTTCCTCCGTGTAATGTTTATTGGTTCCCTTGCTCATATTCCTCTTTTCCCCTTGAAAAGATCCATCATAGCTCCTCCCACATCATTGCATCTATTGATGGAATTTGTTCCACTCGCGTCGCTGAATCTGGAACACCCACGCCGATCACAGAGCAAACAGCGGGTCTCCCTTTTCCCCCTCTGCATGCGTGACAGCTTGCGCCGGGACGGCCAGTGGGTAGCTGTGCCGAGACCGCAAGCAAGGACTACATCATCCGTTGTACTTAACCAATTTTTCCATTGTTGGTGGCGTCGGGTGGTCCCTCGTTGCCATGCCGGCTGTTATTTATATCATCTTTCTCCCCTCCACTCTGGGTGATTTTCTCTCATTCAACAATCCCTCTTGGTGAGCATCCTGCGGTGACCTGGTATCCATTTTCTGTTCTGCTGGTTACCTCCCACGTTATCATGAAGTTTGGTTGGTTCGAGGTGGCCGCATTGGCGGCTGCCTCAGTAGTCAATGCCAATGTATGCTTCACGATCCTATACAGTGCTATCGTACTCAATCGAATCCTCCTTCTAACAGTTTTCGCTCTGAATAGGATGATCTCGCGTACTCCCCTCCTTTCTACCCTTCCCCGTGGGCCGATGGTCAGGGTGAATGGGCGGAAGTGTACAAACGCGCTGTGGACATAGTGTCCCAGATGACGCTGACAGAGAAAGTCAACTTAACGACGGGAACGGGGTAAGCTTTGTATACTCTAGCATGTCTGGGGCTCGATCAGCTAACACATTTTCAGATGGCAGCTAGAGAGATGTGTTGGACAAACTGGCAGTGTTCCCAGGTAAATAATCCAACGTGACATCACACCCTTACAGAAGGCTAATGGTTGTGAATGTAGACTTAACATTCCCAGCCTGTGCTTGCAGGATAGTCCTCTGGGTATCCGTTTTTGTACGTGTGGCTCTTGATTTCCCCTTTCTTCCTAACTTGTTGCTGACAGTAGACGCGCAGCGGACTACAATTCAGCTTTCCCTGCGGGTGTTAATGTCGCTGCCACTTGGGACAAGACGCTCGCCTACCTCCGTGGTCAGGCAATGGGTGAAGAGTTCAGTGACAAGGGCATTGACGTTCAGCTGGGCCCTGCTGCTGGCCCTCTCGGTGCTCACCCGGACGGCGGTAGAAATTGGGAAGGTTTCTCACCCGATCCAGCCCTCACCGGTGTGCTGTTTGCAGAGACGATTAGAGGTATTCAAGATGCTGGTGTCATCGCAACAGCTAAGCATTATATCTTGAACGAACAAGAGCATTTCCGCCAACAACCCGAGGCCGCCGGCTATGGATTCAACGTAAGCGACAGTCTGAGTTCCAACATTGATGACAAGACTATGCATGAATTGTATCTCTGGCCCTTCGCGGATGCAGTACGCGCTGGGGTTGGTGCTATCATGTGCTCTTACAACCAAATCAACAACAGCTACGGTTGCGAGAACAGCGAAACTTTGAACAAGCTTTTGAAGGCGGAACTTGGTTTCCAAGGCTTTGTCATGAGTGATTGGACCGCCCATCACAGCGGCGTAGGCGCTGCTTTGGCAGGTATGGATATGTCGATGCCCGGTGATGTTACCTTCGATAGTGGCACGTCTTTCTGGGGCGCAAACTTAACGGTCGGTGTTCTTAACGGTACAATCCCCCAATGGCGTGTTGATGACATGGCCGTCCGTATCATGGCCGCTTATTACAAGGTTGGTCGCGACACCAAGTATACTCCTCCCAACTTCAGCTCGTGGACCAGAGACGAATATGGTTTCGCGCATAACCATGTTTCGGAGGGTGCTTACGAGAGGGTCAACGAATTTGTGGACGTGCAACGTGATCATGCCGACCTGATCCGTCGCATCGGCGCGGAGAGCACCGTCCTGCTGAAGAACAAGGGTGCCTTGCCCTTGAGCCGCAAGGAAAAGCTGGTCGCCCTTCTGGGAGAGGATGCGGGTTCCAACGCATGGGGTGCTAACGGCTGTGATGACCGGGGATGCGATAATGGTACGCTTGCCATGGCCTGGGGTAGTGGTACTGCGAATTTCCCATACCTCGTGACACCGGAGCAGGCCATTCAGAACGAAGTCCTTCAGGGCCGTGGTAATGTCTTCGCCGTGACCGACAGCTGGGCGCTCGACAAGATCGCTGCGGCTGCCCGTCAGGCCAGCGTGTCTCTCGTGTTCGTCAATTCCGACTCGGGAGAAGGCTATCTTAGTGTGGATGGAAACGAGGGCGATCGCAACAACATCACTTTGTGGAAGAACGGTGACAATGTGGTCAAGACCGCGGCGAATAACTGCAACAATACCGTTGTCATCATCCACTCTGTTGGACCAGTCTTGATCGATGAATGGTACGATCACCCCAATGTCACCGGTATTCTCTGGGCTGGTTTGCCAGGTCAGGAGTCTGGTAACTCCATTGCCGATGTCCTGTACGGTCGTGTCAACCCTGGCGCCAAGTCTCCTTTCACTTGGGGCAAGACCCGGGAGTCGTATGGTTCTCCCTTGGTCAAGGATGCCAACAATGGTAACGGAGCGCCCCAGTCTGATTTCACCCAGGGCGTGTTCATCGATTACCGCCATTTTGATAAGTTCAACGAGACCCCTATCTACGAGTTTGGCTACGGCTTGAGCTACACCACCTTCGAACTCTCCGACCTCCATGTTAAACCCCTGAACGCCTCCCAATACACTCCCACCAGTGGCATGACTGAAGCTGCAAAGAACTTTGGTGAAACTGGCGATGCTTCGGAATACGTGTATCCGGAGGGACTAGAGAGGATCCATGAGTTTATCTATCCATGGATTAACTCTACCGACCTGAAGGCATCGTCTGACGATGATAACTACGGCTGGGAAGACTCCAAATATATTCCTGAAGGCGCTACGGATGGGTCTGCCCAGCCCCGTTTGCCCGCTAGCGGTGGTGCCGGCGGTAATCCCGGTCTGTACGAAGATCTCTTCCGCGTCTCTGTGAAGGTTAAGAACACGGGCAATGTCGCCGGTTATGAAGTTCCTCAGCTGGTAAGTTGACTTGATCGGATGGGGTGTAAGGATTATCAAATGCTAACTTCTTCCGCACAGTACGTTTCCCTGGGCGGCCCGAATGAGCCTAAGGTGGTGCTGCGCAAGTTTGAGCGTCTGCACTTGACTCCATCGCAGGAGGTCGTGTGGACGACGACCCTTACCCGTCGTGACCTTGCCAACTGGGACGTTTCGACTCAGGACTGGGCCGTTACCCCCTACCCCAAGACGATCTACGTTGGGAACTCGTCACGGAAACTGCCGCTCCAGGCCTCGCTGCCTAAGGCTCAGTAAGGGGCAATTATGGGTTGTACAGCGCATTTCCCAAGTTATGATGTACATGTTTATAAATGGCCTAAGGTAGAATAATACTGAGTAGGTTTAGTTCTCATTGTTGAAGTCAAGTGCTGGAATAGTGGATTGACTCACGGAGCCGATCAAGAAAATTAATCTAAATATTCTTCTCACTTCATTCATCACCGGAACTGCTAGCAATGAATACATTTATCAACTTCTATAATCCGAAGATGTTGGTGGCGAATGTGGTGAAGCTATATAATTAAACTAAACTGGCGGGTGGGCACATGCGTCCCCATCGACGTCATCCCTTCCTCTCCGAGGCTAAATGTAATTTAGTCATTTAAATCTACCTATTACGATTACTGCGTAGTTAACTACCTTCCGGTTCCGCCAAGTCATCTACACAACTTCTACCTCAATTGCGTGAATCCGGAATTCTATTTGACCTTATCACATATTCTGCTTTATTTATCATCCTCGGGTAAATTGACGGAGGAAACGTGGAAGGATAAGAAAAGGGGATCGAAAACCGATCGAAAATAGGCAGGTGAAAAAAAAAAAACAATGGCATCACCAGATAAATCCCCTTCTCCGACAATACCGCGGTTATACCAACCACCTACGGCAGCCCTCCTTGTCTATCCTATTACTTTAATTATAGGATCGCTGTTTTCTGTCCTCTCCCCGACAGCACAGGGCACTCGAGAACCTCCCTCCGACCATCCGACTCCTCTAGCCCCTTCAATCGCCGCCGATGTGAACCTCCCCCAACACCCCGTCAATTACTTCGCCCGTAAGGACAATGTCTTTAATGTCTATTTTGTGAAAGTTGGCTGGCTTTGGGTGACTGCGGCTTTCGCTTCCCTTCTGTTTTCTCAGCTCCCGTACACGACCTCGTCCAGTCAACAACCGCGACGGATCGGTCAGGCGCTCGCTCGTTATTCTCTGGCTACCCTAGTCTGGTACCTGACTACACAATGGTTTTTTGGTCCGGCAATAATCGATCGCAGTTTTGTGATTTCCGGCGGGAAGTGTGAGCAGGTCGTCCCGCAGGCTGAAGAGGGTTCTGCCTCACTCCACACACTGTTGACGGCTACAGCGTGCAAGTCCGCCGGTGGAGCATGGAGAGGCGGCCATGATGTAAGCGGCCATGTGTTCATGCTGGTTCTTGCGACTGCGATGCTGGCATTCGAGACAATTGGAGCATGGAGGGGCGCTTCGGACATCGACCAGGGAAGCAAGAAGTCGGAGGACGGGGATCGCGAACTGAGTGGGCCGAGGAAGTGGTCCATATGGTTCGTCGGTGCAGTTACGGGCCTGAGTTGGTGGATGTTGTTGATGACTGCTATTTGGTTCCATACGTGGTTCGAGAAGGTATTTCGCCCCTCTGACATACATATTTTTAACCAAAACACCTTTTCCTTGTGGATTGACTAATACGTGACAGTTGACTGGTTTACTTATCGCCCTAAGCGCCGTTTATATCATCTACATTGTGCCCCGGCGGGTCATCCCCTGGAGGGATGTTGTGGGCATTCCTGGCGTATAGAGTGTTCATTGTTCTCTTTACTTGACGTTGATACGATTTGCCACCCGGGACATATATTGTCGAGCATACACGGTATCTGGCGCAATGATGCATATTGTAGAGTACTACACGCAGAATATACACATGAGTTTTTTCCAAGTACATTTTGACTGCTCAATATCTTTGTTTGGTTAGTTCACTGGCCTGGCCAAAGGCTCTGGTCCTAAGTACCCGCGGGCAAAAGCTGCACATTACGGTCAGTCCAACCTGGTTAACGTGCTGCAGCATCGGGGATTGATGTACTAACCTCCTGGTAGCAGTGCCGATGCATACATCACCCGCGTGATTGGGCGGAGATCATCCGGAGTCACTTTTGTTGCGAGTGATCTTTGCATGTATATATTCCATGAGTCCAGGATATTGTTGGCATACACTTTGAGGTCGACGGCGCTTTCTTTCTCAGACAATTGCTCTGACATGCATTTGATGCCCATACAAGTCCCGAATTCCCGAAAAGCCAGGCGATATTTGTGGCTGCGGTCGAGGTAGCGGTCAACCTCAAAGAGCTCATCTGTCTGATGTTATCACCAACCATGACGAGAGGGACAACACGAGAATTAGAGACATACAAATTTGTTCAAAGCATTGACCGGACAATCTTGTTGCCCAGTCCTCCTTCTCTGCGAACCAATGTGCTGTCCACAAGCTCATCCCCAGATCCAACGGATCACTCGTCACAAACTGCTTCCCTTTTCTCTCCATTACTTTCTTGTAATCTGCGATCTCACTAGCTAGTACCTCGCCCTCGCCCATCTGCATCGCCGCCGCCTGCAGCAACCGAAATGTCACAAATCCATCGACCGGGTCTAGATTGCCCTCCGAGGCCACCAGTGCTGTGGTCAGATCGGTCGACATTTTCCACACCATCCGCGGCCGGGGCAAATGCGCCCGATGAAGAACCGAGGGTGGATGGCTTTGGCCAGCGCTATCGCCTGCCGATTGTACGTTGGATCACCTGTTGCCAGCGATAGCCGGTTGAGGGCGAACATCCATATGGTTAAATAGTGATGGTATTGACCATCACCATCTGAGCCGTGCTCTTCTATCTTACCAATACGCAGTCCACCACCCATCGGATTGTCATTTGTTGCACCGGGCAGGCGACTTTGACCATCCCGCGTTCGCCCCAGCACGTCATGAACTGTTTCGACTAGTCGACGCGCCAGGGTCAAGTATCGGTCATCAGGCGCAGAGGCAGAGGACGCCAGAGCCTTCTCGTACTCACGGTGAAGGGTGATGAAGTTGATCACACCGAAAGCGTCAGTCCAGAGATATCGGCCGCGATGGCCGCCAGACTGCGGAGGTGGAGTCCAATCCTGGGGATTGGTGATAGAGTGGAGGTCGCCATACAATGATTCCTGAGCTTCCTGGAAGCGCTCTAAGCGAGAGGTGACGTCGGGGAACGCATCTGACATGATCCTACGAATGCTGGGATATGGAGGACTATTGTAGGTTCTGCTTAAAATTACTGGATAAATAGATCTTCTGAATATGTAATTGGCAAATGGCATGACCTACATTAACCTGGAAAGGCTTGGATGCTTGCTCTTTGGCTTGATAACGGCGAAGGCGTATATGGAGATGTGTGAAGTCATGATGACCGCCGTTGACGGGGCATGTGATTTCATTTGCCGCTCACCCAACAATGAAATGAACAACTAACAAATTTGCTTCGCTACAGTTGTTGATAATATCGAGCAATTATGTTTACAACATTTGATTCATGAATCGCAGATTTTGGAATTTTATGCGACCGTTCCGACAGGTTTGTACCATGTCACAACTCCAGGAACTATTCGCAGCGGCAGCCCATCCCCTGCCGGACATCCAAGACCCCAGCTTCAGCTCGAACTTCGACAGCTTCGCTGATTGTCGTCTTGTCCTTCTGGGCGATGGCAGCATGGCACCTCGGAATTCTACACCGCGCGGGCGGAGATCACCAAGCGTTTGATCGAGCACCATGGCTTCACCATGGTAGCCGTAGAGGCCGATTGGCCCGACGCTGAAGTAATCGACCGCTATGTGCGTCAGCGTCCAGGCCCCAAGACAAATATTGGCGGCCACTCGACGCCCATTGATCCCTTTACTCGGTTTCCCACGTGGATGTGGCGCAACCGCGAGATGCAGGGGCTGGTCGAATGGATGCGCAATTACAACACGCAAGTACCGTACTACAAGAAAGCCGGGTTCTACGGTCTTGACATATACAGTTTGGGAGCCTCGATCCAGGCGGTGATTGACTACCTCGACCGTGTTGATCCAGCTGCCGGTAAAGTTGCCCGTCAGCGATACAGCTGTCTGCAGCCATGGGTAGACGATCCCGCGATGTACGGGCTCGCTTCACTGCGCGGGATGGAGAGTTGTGAGAAGGGGGTGCTAGACACGCTTCGTGACTTGCTACAACGGCGACTAGAGTACTCCGAAGACCGCCATGACGGCGAGGAGTACCATAGCAGTGAGCAAAATGCGTATCTGGTGCGCGATGCCGAGCGCTACTATAAAGTTATGTATTACAGCTCCGCGTCGTCGTGGACATTGCGCGATACACACATGGTAGATACTCTCCGTCGAACACTGCGTCATAAGCCCGAGGGAACAAAAGCCGTGGTGTGGGCACACAATTCTCACTGTGGAGACGCACGATACACCAGTATGGGGACCTGGCGCAAAGAAGTGAATATCGGTCAGCTATGCCGTGAGCAGTTCGGCCGTGAGAATGTTGCCTTGATTGGCTGCGGCACGCACACTGGCACGGTGGCAGCAGCGCACGAATGGGACGAAGACGTAGAGGTCATGGATGTTCGTCCCTCGCGGAAAGATAGCTGGGAACGTGTCGCTCACAATACGGGAATCCCGAGTTTCTTGATCGATCTGCGACGGGACCGCATCGATCCAAACCTGGCGGCTGCATTTGAAGCTGAGCCTCTCCGGCTTGAACGATTTATTGGTGTGATTTACCGGCCAGATACAGAGAAGATATCCCACTATTCGGCAGCAGACCTGCTCAATCAGTTTGATGGGTATGTATGGTTCGATGAGACACGGGCTCTGAAGCCACTAGAAAAACATGAGCCGGTGACGCCACTAGGAAAGGAGGAGACTTATCCTTTTGGATTATAATGAACGACAACTAAAGTAGAGCCAGTATGATCGATCATCTGTGCACAAATGTCCATGACATCCGCACTGAACAAGAATTGTGATTTATGCGAGAACCATATCACAGTCATATCTGTTTATGTAAAAGATCGGCTTCAACGAGATCCGTGGAGAAGGTAACAGAAACAAGCGATTTCTCGATTTCTAATACTTGACGCTGGCTCGATGTTTGTGCCGTCCGGAGATTGGAGTTAAGACGGAAGCCGATCTAATAAACCACGCAGTTAACTAACGACCGTTAGTTTCGAAGAGTCTAACCCTGGCTCGTATTTTCCGACGGCCCTAATCGCCGATCCATCAATTAGTAGGACCCATTCTGCCCCCCCCCCCATATTCATCATATCCAACGTTCGCTCACTATCCAGTAGCTTGGATGAGGGGGGTTGGCCTCATGGTCCCTTGGGCTGTTCCGTTAACACTGACAGAACGATGGGACATTTCAGAGATGCAAAGAATGGGTATAAATAGAGGCCAGCCCTCAACAAGAGGATACACTCTCTCGATACACAATCACAATCGACACGATCTACTCATGCTGAGATCCTTTCAAAATCTCCCAGTATAACTAACCCCTTCCCAACCATGTCGGCATCCAACTCTGCGGCCTGGCTTCTAGAAGCGGGCGGAAACTTTGTTGTCAAAGAGGCCCCATTGCATAGCCCCGGTCCTGATGAAGTTCTAATTAAGAACAAAGCTGTCGCGGTCAACCCCAGTGAGTTTACACATGGCGCTTCCTTCGTGCTTTCAGATGGGCTGCTAACTGAATATTCCCAGTGGACTGGAAGATCCAGGCCTATGGACCGCATCTTCCTTTTCCCAAACAATATCCTTTCGTGCGTATACCGCTTCTCCCCTGAAGAAAAAAAAAAGTAACTAATAAGATGAGCAAACAGATCCTCGGCGCGACATAGCCGGAGAAATCTACGAAGTGGGCCAAGAGGTAACCACCTTCAAAAAGGGAGACCGAGTAATGGGGTAGGGACAAACCCACCTCACTTCACAAATCACCACAAGGCTCAACTGACCTCTCCGTAGAGGAGCCAACTGGTTCCTTACCAATGAAATCAGGGACTCCGGATTCCAAAACTACACGATCTGTAAAGCAACCCTCGTGGCCCCACTTCCGGACACCATGTCCTTCGAAAGCGGGAGCGTCCTCCCTCTAGCCCTATCCACGGCAGCAATGGGCCTCTACCCAGCTGGTCGGCTTGAACTCCCCTTACCCCATACCCTTGAACCAAAACCAATCAACAAGGTTATCCTCGTCTGGGGTGGCTCATCGAGCACCGGCAGCGCAGCAATCCAACTGGCAGTAGCATCGGGGGCAACGGTCATCGCCACCGCGTCTGCAAAGAACCATTCCTTCGCGCAGAGTCTCGGTGCCGCTAAGGTGCTGGATTACCACAAGGATAGCATCATCAAAGACCTAGTCAAGGCTATTCAGGATACTCCCGGGGAATTTGCGGGTGCCCTGGATGCTATTGCGGAGGAGGAGACGGTAAGGAGCTGTGCGGATGTGGTTAAGGGACTTGGTGGTGGACGTGTGGTCACGAACTTGCCTATGCCGGTTAAGGATATACCTGATGCAGTAGAGGTCGTTGGTGGTGAGTTTCATATATGTCCGATATCACCATGATGGGAGTCAGTTGTACTGATATATGTGAGTAGTTGTTGATGTCGCGAATATCTCTGATTTTAAGAGGATCTCGGAGGGTATCTGGGGTAAGTTTGTCCCTGAGGGACTGAGGAATGGGACGTTGAAGCCAGTCCCTGAGCCCTTGGTGGTTGGGGAGGGCTTGGAGAAGATCCCTGAGGGTGTCTCTTTGTCTCAGCAGGGCATCTCGGCGAAGAAGATCGTTGTGACCTTGTAAATGAGGTCGGAAGTTTGCCTCGGGGAAAGTGAGATGTAGGGATGTTCTATGTGCATCGTGCCTGATATTGTTACTGTTTTTACTACTGTTTGTTTTTAGGGTTGAATCATAAGGATGATAATGAAGAATTAGATAACTAATGAAGAGTTTGTATTGGTCTTCTCTTTGCTCCACGACCAGACGATAAACTCTCGCTCGGGTCTCTTGAGAGGTTTATTCAAACTATCTTACGTACTCAAGTCCTGATGTTACCGGAGCAACATGTATCTACTACTATAGTATAGGAGGATCAACGATAACTTGGGAATGTCGAACTACAGTGTGGGGGCGTAAGGAACGGGGAAAGAAGGAAAGGGGAAACGATGATTGATCGTCCTGCTCAACCAGGAATGTCTCAAAATAGCCCCCTGCAGCTCTGAGAATATCGATTACCGACTTTATCTGCAAGTAATATGCTCCGCAGGCTACAGGGGCCTGTCATACTAATGCTGGTATGTTGGATGGAGTCTTCCTAGTAGTAGTTCGAGGTTAGCGTGGGGATTATTGCGTAGTATGGTCGAACCGCTGACGATACATGATCGATATAGCGTGCTGACTGGGCAGCTAAGGGGCATGTCCTCTTCGCACAGGCAGGATACCAGCAACTTTTACGAGCTAGAGCCATACTGGGCATACACAGTAATAGCTGCTGCAGGGCATCTGACATCAGATGGTCTCCAGTCACGTTTCATGGCATCACTCCACTGACGTCAGCTCACCGCCCGGCAATATTTGTTTACATTCTCGCCTAATCGGGCGACGCTCGCCCTTCGTTCTGTTTCTTTTTCATCCCTTCGTCATCTTTGCCACAATTCCATCATTCCACGGCCAACTTCTTTCTTCAATTTGCTGAATTCAATTCTCACCGCTCGCTTCCCATCATCATGGCGGTTCGACGGTCCGCCCGCCTGCGTAATCGCCAGGCTTCGAATGTAAGTCGCCCACACAACCATCACCTGTTGATTCCAGTTCATTCACTTTGCCCATGTTGCCCTTGCATCTGTCGTGTCAAGTACCAGACAACTGACTTTGGCTCCTGACTGAAGGAACCGCAGCCGCCCGCGTCACCTGTCAACAACACCACCGCCATCACCACTGAAACCAACCACAATAACAACAAACTCCCCTCCGTCATGGAACGCGACGAAACTCCCGCCGACGTTCCCTCCAACCACACCACCACCACCACCACCACTACTACTCCAAAGTCCACAACCGATGTCCGCACCCCACACAAGGCTACTCCTGCTCCAAAGCAAACCCCGGCGAAAACACCCACCAGTGCAGTCACTCGTCCATCTCACCAAGAAATGCATCCCAGCAAGGTCCATCAAAGCACCACCAAGCAGGCGGATTCGGGCCTGATCCTCGGTTTCAACCCGATTAAGAAGGATGCCGAAGGGAATGTGATGAAAGATTCTCTAGTCGAGACTACCCCAAGCAAGACAAAGGCGTCACCCGCTTCGACATACTACGGCACACCCGCCTTCGAGTTCAAGTTTTCTTCCGCGGACTCCCAGCTAAGCGACGAAGCCAAGAAGCTCATGGAGAGCGTGCGCGAGGATGTTGCTAGAATCAAAGCTCAGATGGTTCAGGAGAAGGATAGTCAGCCCGACCAGGGTGGCAACGACCAGTCAGGGATTCGCAGGATCGCCGAACCAAAGGGCCAGGCCAGCCGATTCAGCGCTGCTCATATGGCCGAATTCAAGAAGATGGATTCAATTGCTGGACACGCGTCTGCCTTCCGCGCCACTCCCGGTCGCTTCCAGCCTGTCCAAAAGACCCTCAAGCGGCTCAACCCCGGGGCACGACTGGGTGAGTCCAACCAAAATTCACCCACGAAATCGACGAATAAATTGCCTGCGCCTGCGCCTGCTCCAGTTGCCAAGCGTGTCAAACATGACAAGGGCGATGACACCTCCACTCGCCGTCGGACTGTCGGTGAGAAGAGCGCTTCAAAGCCAGCGGTGAGTCGCACAAGGCCCGCTATCCGCAGTTCTTTGATGACTCCTACTCGAGCCTCCATGGCGCGTACTTCGGCCACCAGCCTCAAACCCTCCCGGACAAGCATGCTCCCTCGACCATCTCTTGCGCATTCCCCTACTTCGAAGCAGTCGACTACCCCGCGCACACCCCGCACGGACTTCAACCCTCGATTCAAGAGCGGCTTGCCCCAATTGAACCTAAAGTCGATCCTTCGTCCCCATCAACCTTTGTTTTCGAAAGATCCCGCGAAGATCGCAGCAGGAACACATGTGGCAGCCCCCGAATTCAGTTCCAATTTCCTGTTGGGCACAACCCGCGATGCTTCGGAGGAGCCTGCAGTGACCCCATCACCCAAGAAACGTGTTGAGTTCTCCTCCAGTACTAGATTGCAGGATGGTGAAGCTCTACCATCCCCTTCTCCGTCCAAATTAACCACCCTCTCTCCGTCCCGGGTCGTATCGGATGTTGTTTATCCCACTTTGCCAGCTTTGACACCGGATCATGCTGCAAAAAAGTCCAGTAGTGAGATCAGGTCGCCCACCATCCGTCACGTCCGTCAATCAGACGCCCCTACCAATCTCTCTTTACCGGATATCCCCGGCGTTCCACATGGAATTGGCAGCAAGAAGCGACACCGCGAAACGGAGGCCACTCATGATCCTTCCCTGCCCGATATTCCAGGTGTGCCTCATGGCATCGGCAACAAGAAGAGGCATCGAGATGCAGCTGGGAGAGATGTTGACACCGAGAATGTGCCGCCAGCCGACGCCGCCGCAGAAAACCGCAGTGCGAAGAGAGTCAAGCTGAGCTCCCCATCAAAGCTCTCGCCATTCAAGTTCTCCCCATCGAAGATGCCAAACTCTAGTCCCACCAAGGCGCGTTCACACACTCCTCTCCGGTCGACCACAAGTGCTAGTCGAACGGGAACCCCGGCCAGCGCACGACAGAGGAGCCGGAATGCGCTGACCATGAGCCGGCTGAATGCGCTTGCTCAGCCAAAGAACCGCTCTTAATCGTTCCTTGTCCACCGTAATGAACCACTTGGAACTGCCACGACCAGTTATTGCCTTTTACGAGAGTTTGAGTCGCACATAGATGCCATTTCGACTTTGAGAACCTTCTTTCAGATTCCCCAGATCCTCTGTTTCTTTTTCTTCTTTTTTTTCACGTAGATTATACCAAATCACCGATCAGTCATTGTATTTACTTGTTTCATCGGATCTGATATTTCTCTCCTTTTGGGCCTAGTCTCTTTTCACCTATCTACCTATCAATGGGTCTCTGATTCTTGTCACACGCAGGCGTTCGGAGGCATCCGGAATGCAGGTTCTGGACGGCGTTTGTGATCTTTTTGTTTTGCCTACTATCTCTTGTGGACAGTAGGTCTCCATACTTTATGGTGCTTGTTGGTTGATCGGTTGATACAGTTGAAATAATGAACGTCCTACAAATAGTTTCAACGATTTTGTTTCCTATCTTGTTTCCCTCTACATTGTCGGTGTATGAGATCGTTCCAATGAATTAATTCCTCATACAACATCTGCTCAGTACTTACAATAGATACCTCATCATACCGTTTAAGTAGACAAAACATATCTGTCCTTAACAGACCAAATAATGTATCAAGATGATAGGATCGAATCTTATGAACCGCTTATCAATATGTACACAAGTGCAGCATTAAAAGTACAGCAGGAAAAGAAAAGAAAAAGGATAATGAAGTAAAATAAAATAAACACCACGAAGGGAATAAAATAATAAACATAATTCCCCTCCATGTCTATCCTTGATTTCGTCTTCGTAAGTACCGAGTCATTCGTTCAATCAATGATTCAATGAATCATTAAGATAAATAAGAGATTCGAAAAAAAAAAAAATTCGCCACCAAACTCCCGGGACACAGTTCGTATGGAAACAGGGGGGGAAAGAGGAGAGAATCTGAGCTATGGATGTACAACACTAACGAACGCCCGCCCGGGTTCAGTCAATCGTCTAGGAAGATAGGATCAGAAGGCGAAAAGAAGAGAGATGAAACGGGAATAAGACAGGGAAGAAGCACGGCTGATGTCTTTTGCAGTTGAGGTATTTTTTCTGCAAAGTTCGATAAGAACGAGCCTGAAAACTCCAGTCCACCGTAACGTAACAAAAGGAGCTTTGTTTAGGGAAACCGAGATTTAGAAATGATTTATCAATCATCCTTTCATTGTCTGCAGGAAGGAGTCCAAGTTGTATTCTTCTTGGTATTGACGGTCGTCCCAGAGCTCGCCGAGGTCGTCGAGCCAGCCCTTCTTGCCCTTTTCTTTGACTTCGCCGTCGATGTCGACCATGTCGACTTCGTTGCCGGCGGCGTTGTCGCTGGGTTTCTCGGCATTCTCGGCTGTTTCTCCGAGATTGAATAGGTCTAGGAGCTGGTCTGTGTCCATTGTGTTTAGGCCTGCGTTTTGTTGGTTGACCACCGTCGATGCCACGTCGATCTTGAAGCGTTGGAGGCTGGGGTAGACGAGTTAGTATGTGTCGTTATTTATGGGAACATTTTAAATCGGGATGAACTTACTTCAGAATCTTCTCCTCCAAAGTACCCCTGGTGATCAAACGGTAGACATTGACGACCTTCTTCTGGCCGATACGATGTGCACGGTCCATGGCCTGGATATCCTTCTGCGGGTTCCAGTCATGCTCAACGAAGATGACTGTGTCGGCACCTGTCAGGTTCAGACCAAGTCCACCAACACTAGTCGTCAGAAGCAAGGCATCGTAACTAGGATCTGTATTGAATCGGTTGACGATGTCCTGACGCTTGGTGGCTTCCACACTGCCGTCTAGACGGAGATACTGAACTGAGGGTAGAAGCTTCTTGAAGACTTCGCTTTGCACGATGTCGAGCATTTCCTTCATTTGACAAAAGATTAGGGCCCGGTGGGGACTCACGTAGCTTGCGCCAGTGCCCAGGTCCCCTTCGCTTGGCGGGTCAACACCGATGCCACAGTCGAGGAGGAGATCACGCAAAGCGCTAAGCTTAGGGGCATGTGAAACATCGCGGATGTAAGAATTCTTCGCATGAAGGTATTGCTGGACCTCGTCGTACTGCTTGTGCCCGTCTTTGACGACAAGCGCAGGAGAGTTGCAGAGGCGTCGCATATACTGCAATGCTTGGAAGATGTGCTCTTTGTCGGACTTCTCTGAACTACCCATCTTATTCGCCAGCTGCTTCTGCTCCTTCTTCGTGAAGTCCTCGAAGAGTTTCTTCTGAAGTTCACTAGGGTCACAATAGTAGTTCTGGATAATCTTCGGTGGTAGATCGTTAAGAACTTCCTCCTTTAGACGACGGAGTAAGAAGGGGAGCACCTGTTTGTGCAAGGCCTCAATGGCCAATGCACCAGCTTCTTGTTCCTTCGAGGACGATTTGCTGAAACGACTCGCTGCAATTGGCTTCGCGAAACGATCCAGGAAGACCTTTTCAGTACCAAGAAAACCAGGCATTAGGAAGTCAAAGAGGGACCACAGCTCCAACACGTTGTTTTGAATGGGGGTACCGGAAAGAATTAAGCGGTGGTTGCTGGCAACGCGTTTGACAGCCAGGGTGACCTTGGCCTTTGGGTTCTTGATAAGATGTCCCTCATCCAAGACGCAGTAGTTCCAGTTCAGTGGGGTAATAACATCACTGTCATTTCGGCAGATGTCGTAGGAGGTAATAACAATATCAGCATCGCCGAGGGAACCTTTCAATCGCGCGCGTTCTACCGGAGGTCCAACGTACGCAACGCTCTTAAGGAACGGGGCGTATTGCTTGATTTCTTGTTGCCAGTGTCCAGACAGCGACGGGGGGCACACAATCAAGGACGGAAGCTTTCTGACCTCGGGCGCTTGTGTCCGCGCAAACTCTTCGGCTCGCAAATGATGATCACTGGCGACGATGCAAATTGTCTGAAGAGTCTTACCGAGACCCATATCGTCACACAGAATGCCATGCAAATTATAGCGGTTGAGGAAAGCAAGCCAGTTGACACCCTCTTGTTGGTAAGGTCTAAGCTCCGCCTTAATTGCCACTGGTAAGGCGAACTCCTCCACCTTCCGCACATCCAGCATTTGGGACATGAACTTCCTTTCCCTCTCTCGTCCTTTGAGCAATTCCTCGGAAAGACCAGGAGGATCCGGGATGCCGGCTTCTAGGGGAACAAGCTTGACCAAGGTTGCAAATGACGTTGTAGCTAGCAGCCTGACATCATTGTCAGAATCGCTCATGCGACCCAAGACGGGGACAACAAGGAAGATGACATAGGGTAGAATCCCATCTTCCATCACATGGATAAGGTGGTAAATGCATTCTACGGCTCCCTGGCGGTGGTGCACATCCAGACCATTGTTAATGGTAGGCAGTACTTTCTCGACTAACATGGTCATGCCTTCCACCGTAACGACACTGCAGACAGTTGCGAAGCACTTGGCAGCTGCATACCGAATCACAGACAGGCTACATTGCAGTGCTTTGGCAATCAGGGGCATGAGACTGACAACCCAAGGATGAAGACCAGGATCGAACTTGGGTAATAAGGCACGTAGCGTAGACAAACCATCTACGACTTCTTGGCCAAGCTCATTGTCGGGGTCGTGAATTTCTGCTGGGAGCTCATTTGTGAGGGCATCTCTGAGCGGCCGTTCAACCAGAGATGCAACGTTGGGAACTTTTTCTAAAAGTGTCGAACCGAACTTCACAGCCAGTTGCTCCAAGGCTTCCTTGGCGCCGCGACGCATAATTCTTGCTTCCTTTGCTTCCCTTTCAAACTTCGCTGCATCCGGATGGTCACGGCGGTCTTCTTCTTTGCGGAGAGATAAAATAGATTTCTCCAGACCTGCATTGTGGTGGAATTCGGGAGTCTCGGACGTATCGACACAGCAATATTTCACCAGGTTACCAATGACCTTATCGACAGGACCCCGCTTGGTAGCAGTAGTATAGTACTCCACCAGCGCAGCAACTGCAGTAGCAGAGCGTTGTTGGAGTTCTGCATTCTCTTCTTTCTTGATACTGTCCATCATTCCCTTGATGATGTGACTTGGTTTCTTCGGGATGTCATGCATGGCAACTAGAGCACCCGCTGCGGCAGCGAGGATACGCAGGTCCCTTGCTTCACGGACGCTTCTGGCTTCGTTAATTGCACTCTCTGCAGTTGCTCTTGTATCGTTCAGAACCTGGAGAGCTGTGATGCGCTGAGCTGGTGCCAGGCCCTTCTTCAGGCGGTCGAAATCGGGTCCAACGACCTTTTCAGCGTCCGCCAGCGAGAAGGCACTCGGGCCAGCCTCAGCGTCACCTTGGACAACGACAGCCAGAGCGGGCAATCTCGAACCAGGAACATGAGCGTGGTCCCGGAAGGCATTGAGCAATGAGTGACATTGTGCACGTGCAACATGAAGATAGCATGCTATGTCACCGTACCATGATGGACGATCCCCTTCGATAATTGGGCGCAACTGCTCGCACAGTACAGAAGCATATGGGCTGCCAGATCCTGCAATTCTGGCATATTCCTCTATAATCATAGCGGTTGCAAGCTGGGAAGTGGATGCCGAGTGGTTAAGGCCGTGCAGAATAGGCTGCCAGAGGCTTGGAAGTCCATTCTTATCCCAATGAGAGAGCAACTGACCAAGAGCCTTTGCAGCATAGATCTTAGACCGCAGCATGGTGTCCGCACCTACCAAGTCAATATCACCTTGCAGCATGTGGCCATCAACATTGTGAGCCGAAGGCGGGGGCACTTCTTTCTTCTCTGCCTTGCGACCCCTCTTCTTGGTCGCATCGGAGGTGTTGTTAAAGGCACTTGGCGAGGACTTTGCTGGTGCAGCTGCGCTCATTGGGAACGGTACACCAGACGGCTTGATGAAGAGGGAGGCATTCATCGGGATGGGATAGCGAGGAACGCCGAAAGGAGCCATACTTAAGGTAATGAGAGGCTGGATATGAGATAACAGTTCGGCTTCGGATTTGAAGGACCCATGCTTGTCGAGAGCTTTGAGCAGTTCTGACCAGACTTGAAGAGACAATTTCAGAACACCCTCGTTTCGCTCCACCAGCAAATTCTGGAAAATCAAACGGAGCGCCTTGCCATTGACCCATTCGTTGGTGCCATCTCCTTCTAGCTGCAAAAACGTGATAAGAGCCCGGAGGACGGCCGAGCGCACGCTGGTGATTGTATGTCGCAGGAAAGGATAGAGGCGGGGAACAAGGTTGCCAAATGATGACTCGGGATCCACAGCTGCATTCGCCTTCATAGCATCGAGGACTTCACGGAACGTGCAGAGCTTGGCTAGAAGGTCCATAACTGACCCAGTACTGGCGCTGAGGTCATCTTGGAGGTTGGAAAGGCATTCCCAAACGATGTTCATCAAAGTTCCCAGCGTGCTCTGCCGAGAAGTCACAAATTCCTCTGCGATAGGAACAAGAGTTGCTGCACTCACTGCACGCACATCGTCGTCATAGTCACCCAGGCCCTTCATGACTGCCTCCAGGACACCGTCCATGAGCTTTGTATCCTTGATAAGCAAGTCTTTGCGGACTGCCACTAAATACCTGAGACCGATCATACCACCATGGCAAACTTCCCAAATGGGGCGTTCTAGACCTAAGTCATTTTGCATGATGATCCGGTAGAGGCATCTGTAGACAGCGATAACGGAACGGGATGGGAGCTGAGACAGGAGAGCACCTAAAGTTTGACCTACAGTCTCTCGAATGGGGGCGACAACGTTGTCAGAGATGTAGTCGCCGAAACGGTCAAGCATGAGAACGCAAAGAAGGCGGCATGCAAGATCATCCAGCCATTTGCGATTCAAGGTGTCGTTTTCAGGTCTGCTCTTCCCTCGCAAGCGCCCGGCACCGGCACCTTGAACGCGGATGACCTCTCGCAGGGCCATCGCAGCTCCATGTCTGACTTCCCAATTTGGATCAAACAGATCGACCATGAGAAAATCACACATTGGCTCATAGGGCCATGCGATGCTGGGACCTTCGTCGGAGGTCTCAGGCTGAATCAAAGGCTTTTCTGGGGCGGCCTCTCCTTTGAATTCGGAGACGATCTTCGAGTCATCATCGCCAGATGGTCGTTCAAGAGAGAAGTAATCTGATTTCGAATCGCCGTTCCGCTCTTCTCCGTTCTCTGCTTTAATAGGGTGCGGAGTCGTCACTGACGGTGTCGTGACGTCGGACGTCTTCCGCGCAGAGAGGTCGACGACGCGCACTTTATTTGCACCCATCTTCGCACTCTGTTTATTTTTTCGTTTCAGCTGATTCAGTTGCCGCTTACTCAGTCCGGACTCCTCTCCGTTCGCAGGCTCACTTGGTGTTGTCGCAGAAGCAGGGAGTTGGTGATTGTTCTCTCGGGAAGCAGCCGTGTGAGAAGATGGATCCTCCTTGATAGCCGGGGTCTTCAAAACTAAATCAGTGTCGTCGATCAGGTCCTCCTCGATATACTCTCCTGCAAGGCCCAGTCGAGAGTTCAATGTTTTCTTCTGATGCTGCAACCGAGATATGGGATCCATGGCGGCCAGAGAGTATTCATATTCTTTGCCCGCACTCCCTAGTAGCCTTTTTCCGTACTTTAGAATCGAGGTTAGATCCAGACGTTCTAACTGAAGAAGTTCATCCGACGGAGATAGTTGGGCGTCTTCAGATTTAATTTCCACCGCGAGATCGTCATCCTCGTCGGCCTTTTTGATCCCTAGGCCATCCTCTTCATTGGGGTCAAAGATGTCGGCATTTGTTACAATGAGCCCGATCGCCTTGCCGGCAGCTGTTCTGGTATCCCATGATTTCGACTTGAGATACGGTAAGATACGCCCTAGTAAGTTGAATAGCTCATCTGGATGTTGCTTCTGGACATCTGCCAGCTGTTGAGCGGCAGTGTTCCGGATGAGAGGCGTGCTGCCCGTCTCAAGCAAGCTGTGAGAGTGGTTAGCATCGACCTTGTCAGCATGAGAATTGGTCCAAGGATGGTGATACTCACGTGACCAAGCGATCCAACCTGTCCCAAGATGGTTAGCGTGGGAAACTAAATATGACAGGGCTGGGCAGTTAAAACTTACCTGGAGGTCATGGCGGGCAATCACCTCTTCACAGAGGGAGTTGGTGGGGATGGAAGGATGATTGAGGAGTATTAAATAAAACAATCGATCGTGAGTGAATAAAAACGAAAGAATAAAAAAAGAATAAAAAAAAAAAGAAGTTGCCAAGCCCAAAGAGTTCCGGTGACGCCTCAGATATTATAATGGGGAATCCTTCCAGTATGCAGAAGGTCTTAGTCAGGGTAGGTAAGGAATGTAAAGTATACCGAACCGTTACACCCACGTCACAGCCATTTGACGGATGGAACTAAAAGGGAAGACAGAGAGGGAATAAAACAAAAAAATAAGTCGATGTAGGACGATCGATCCGACAGAGTGGAGAATTAAGGTAAACCTGAAGAAAAACAAAAATAACAGAAACTAGATGAAGGGAGTTTCACACTATTAAGTCGATCATCTGTGAGGCCCAAAGGTATTAAGATCATCAAGAAACTTTGGAGCATAAAGACAGAAGAAAAATAAGAATAAAAAAAATAAAAAAGAAAATAAAAAAAACAATAGAACCACAAGGGAGGGAAAGAATAATAACAATAAATGTTAATCCCAAAAGTGGAGAGGGCGATGACGGGCACGTCGTCGGTGGTAAAAGAGCCGATATTAAAGTATGGGCCAGTCAAGCTCCCAGGTAAGTAAGTAAGTAGGTATCAACAAGTCGTCCCGTCGTGCTTTCGTTTTCCCCTCGAGGTCACGCAGCCTGTTTATATCATTGGGGGCATCTTTGGCTGGGCGCGCCTACCCATGCTTGGGCCCTGTACTAGCCCCGAACCGGCTTAGACGCCCCACTCCCGTAAAGGTTTTCCTCTGGTCACGTGATCCTCCCTGCGCCAACCTCACGATCGACGGCCGCGAAATTGCTGCCAATGTCCATCATCATGATGAGACTCGCGGCCGAAGTGATCCGTGGGTTTTAGCTGCAGGTACCACTATATCCTTAATCCTACGACCAGAAGCAGTAAGTTGACCCCGGAGATCTATCGCGATAGACAGGACCTTCACTTCGTTCCCCCGTATGAACTATCCGTAAGCTGGTGTCGATTTCCCCAAAACATGCCAAGAAATGCCAGATGGTCTCATCGTAAAGGAAGGGGATTCTTTGTCCACTCACACACGTCGACCGAGAGACGGCCCTAATAGTACAATTCCTTGTCCCATGCGCAAGCCTCCCACGCGGTGGTTGATCCTCCAATGTCTGCCTCGGGCGATGACATAGACACGGTGCTCAATGCTCCAATCAAACGGCACCTAATTTAGTTTATATATAATCTGCGGAGTACTTACTACAACTAACTTCCTGGATAGCACTCGACCTGACATCTTCATACAACCCTCCCCGTCGTAATATTTTACTGCAAACTACCATACGAAACTGACGTAGGTCTTTCTTGCTACTTTCATTTGTGGAAATCGAGTCTACATACCGAAGCAAATAGTAGCAGCAAAAGCGATCATCGCGTCGTCCCAGAACACGGGGGTTGTGGTGATTCGCAGCATTGCTAGCAGACATCACACACTGCGATCATCGCCAAAACAGCGCGCATCAAATAGACTTGTCCATTTCTATACACTGAGGGACTCCAAGTAGGAAATAACAACACGACATTTGGTGGTGGTAGTAAAAACAACGAAAACAGAACCGCACCCCTAGTGTGCACAAAATCCCCTTAAGCCTTCGTCAGAAAAGCAGATGCTTCTTCTTCCTTCCCTAGCAGCCCCAAACTGCGAATCTGCTCTGCCTTGGGCGCGTTCTCCCGGGGGTGTGCGGCTTCGGCCTTCCGGTAGGCGGCCTGCATCTTCATTGTTCGCAAAGCCTGGAGGTCCATGATGTCAGAATATAGCAGAACCACATATGAAATAACCAGGACATTCGACTGCGCCTTGAATTGACGGGCGAGGTGCCATTGTGCAAGGGCGAGACCCTACCTCTTTTCTGTGGTGCAGGCACTCGTAGTAATCCTCCAAAGCGGGCATACACTTCTTCTTGCCGGTCTCACCGTCGCCGGCGTTGACAACGTAGCAGCCGAGGACCTCCTGCCAGAAGTTGTAGCAGCGGGAGGGACCTGAGGGAGAACGCAAGTATTAGCCGGGGACGTCCATCGAAGAAACGCATCGCGACCGAGCACGACGAAATCATAATCAATTGTGACAGCAACGCCCCCTCAGACGCTAGAAAATGAGCACATACCGCCATTGAGACCAAAACCCGAAGCCATTGTGTGTTTGGTGGTAGATGAGAGGAGGGGAAACGAGCGGGCACAGGGTGTAGGAGCGGAGGTCAGGATGCGATGAGGTTCTTCCGGTCGATTCGCCGCTTTCCGCCCAAGTTGGTCCGAGCGTCAGCGTTTGACGTCTTTAGTATTGCTCCCGACCACATCACCCTCTTTATTTTCCCTCATTCCCCGGCGAAAGAGCCGCTGATTGACGCATGGCGATTTCTGGTCGACGATCCGGTGCTCATGCGATTCTTCTAGCTACCCACCTTTGTGTGACTGGGAATGTCTCCCGCTTACCACAGCTACAAGCCCAGTCTCCAGCCTACCTTCCTCTTGAACGGATACTACGCATCATCTTGACCTTTCTGCCGGAAAGCACGGCGCCCCAGTCTTACACGCCAGTCCTTCAAGAGCTTCTCGATGGCCATCCATCGCAACCGGACGGCGACGATATCGATGTTTCCCCAGTCGACAATTTCTCGGAGGCTGCTGCCAAGAAACGTGTACGGACGCTTCGTTTACTCCCACTAAAGTACCACGACGACGAAGACAGTCAAGACCCAGCCGACCTTTTAACTCAATTTCTCATACACCGGGCATATCGTATAGATCTGGAAACTGCCCTCCAACCTCTTATACTTGAACTTCTTTTACCGTTCTACCAGCGCTTGCCGACCGTGCGGACATGGTTAATCTCGAGCTTACTACCGCTGCTCCGACTCAACTACGAATACTATCCCAGTCAGGATGAAACATTCTCTCTGGATGTTCTAGAGTCAATGGACAGCCACACCGCGATCAATGTACTTCTTTCGATGACGGGCGCCCAGAAGAACAGCATGGATTTAGTGAACAACTTACGCGGACTACTTGGCCCGTGGATGTACGGGAGTAACCGATCGAAAAGGCGTAGACTCAATCAGGCTGCGGAGGCCAATTCCATCTCCCTTCCTCAGCTTAGCACCCAACAGCATGATAAGAATATCTCCGGATGGCAATACGTGAACGAATGGCTGCTGGCGCGAAGTCTAGTGGATTATGAGAGCACTGTGAATGCATTCCTTAATTGGAATGGTCCAGAGGATGCGGATCTTGGAGGCTTTGAGGAAGAAAACCAAAAACATGACCGCGATGTGTTGAAGGACCTAAATCTCCGATATGGTCAATCGGGGCTTGCTGTTATCTATACAACTTCCGATACAAGCAAGTCTTGTCTGGAAGGCTCAGTCAAAGTTTTGACTCGGGTTGCCAAGCTGCTGAGCCTTGAGGATCAATTATTTATCTCACCTAACAGCTCGGCATATCCTTCGGTGATATTTGATGCATCTCAGATCTCTTCATCATCGAGGGTGTCCCTTCTGCAGAACGCTTTGTTGGTGGCATCAAACCCATTAACATATCCTTCCGCCTCCTCTATATCGTTCCTCAGCGCTATCCTCCTCTCCATCAAGACTTTGGCCGACCTCGGACATCCTATTACATGCAGGACAGCTGCCAATATCTGCCTTCATAGTAACCAAGATACGCAACTACAAGAATTGCGGAACATTGTCTCTTCTATTGTAAGACAAACAAAACTTAGCCATGACTGGCGGGACGTTCGCCAGCAGATCCTCTGGCTGCAGCATTGGGGCGCAGACAAAATAGAAGGAAATGGAAGCAATTTACACTGTCATGGTCTCTTTTGGAGGGTCTCACGAGATGTGGTAGAGGCAGAGATCTTGAAGGCATTGCTAGAGTTCAAAGGTAAGCAAACACTATCCCATCTTTCATATTGTGGAGACTAATCAGTGTAGAATACAACTTGGCCGTTGATATCTATATGAATTCCAAAACTGCCCTTAGCTCAGTCCAAGTCGAAGAAGCCGTCAAAGAGGCCATTTTCACAACTTATGATAACGCTAGCAATGGAAACAGAACCAGGGGAGGCATGAAGCGAGCGTACGACATGTAAGTCTTGATCCAAATGAGCGTCAGATCGACCAAAGAGCTAACTATTTTCCGCAGCTTGCAAGCCTTCCAGCCACACTTTCCAGAATCTGTCTCCTTCAAGGAGATTCGTGCCCTCCTATCAGCAACGCATGCTCTATCTTTCTACTCCCTAACTCTGCAACATGGTGTTCCTTTTCAACCCGTCAGTATCCGTGTGCATCCCGATCCTATTTCCTTGATCGAGAAGGTGCTTGATCAAAACTCAAAAGCCTATACAAAGGTGGATGATCTTCTTGCGATCGGAAGAAATTTGGTTGCGGCTGGTTTTTCCACTCGCCTCTCCGATAGCGACGACCTAGATCTTCCGTCTACTTCCGAGGAGCATGCCGTCGTCACAGCTGAGCGACGTATTATGTCACTCGCGATTTCATCAGCTCTCTCGTCCAATGATTTCGGTACCGCGTATTCTTACATCCTCACGCGTCTCACTCCTCCATCTCTCTTATCCACATCCTCACCCCTTACAAACCCAGCCGTAAGGGATGACATTTCCTGGCGTGCTGTCTACAATGCTGGCCGGTACCGCGATCCTGCGCTGTCCTCATCTGCCAACCTCCAAGCCCAAATAACCCAACTTTCCCAACGAATGGAACTTCTTTCTCTTGCCCTGATCCTCGTCCCCTCTCCCGAACCACTCCCTGAGATCCTCGGCGCCTGGCGACGGTGCGACGAGGAGATGAACGGCCTTCGCACGCGCGAAGCCGACGAGGAAGAACTATGGGACATCAAGGCGGACAACCTCTCATCTGTCCCTGGTGACTTCGGACCAACAGATAGCGAACAGGACGCATACGAAACAAAGAAACAACATGCCCGACGTGCCCGTGCCCATCACGACCGTCTCAACGCTGAAGAAGCCCCCATGGGCCTCTTCGAAGTTGCCCGAGGCGCCGCGCTAGCCTCCACAAGAACGCATTCCCGCTCAGCGGCAGCGCCGCTGCCGCCGACCAGCAACCGACGTCTCCATCTCACGCTCGCGGACCCAGCGAGGACTCCGCCGAAGACAGGGTGCGTAAGCGAGATGTGGTTAGTAACATGGTGACAGGCGGTTTAGTCAGCGGTATCGGATGGGTCTTAGGTGCTCAACCGGTGAATCGCTGAACCATACGCCCCGAATTTCATGATGAGTACGATGACGGTTTTTCTGGCGGATCCTTCAATAAAATGCTTCCATTATGTGATATCCTGTACAAGCGGCTTTGCGCGGTGTTTCTAGCAATCTATCCTAATTACCAAAATACATATTATCCATATAATGCCACCATGAATCTAGTGAGGAATGATCTTCTGGATATCGAGGCGACCAACATGGAGCTTGGAGGCGTATATATATTTTACATATTGGGCCTTTTGTATCTCCATGGATATATATATTTCTGCTAGAGACACGCAACAACCAGGAGCAGATCTCACGTCAGACTCAGCCCTGGAAGTCCTTTTTTCTTCTTTGATTATTGTATTCTTCGTAGTAGCCTCGTAAGCACCAGATAAGTCCCCTTTCTGAATCGATTTCAAGTAGAAATCAATAACTTCCTTTGAGCAAGTAAACGTTAATTTTAGTCTTGGTTTTTGGCCAGAATACATGTGGTAAAGCAAGCCCCAGTAACTCCGTACAATATATACGTATATACTTTGGTAGTCGCCTGATTACTTTGGCGACATAGAATAATTGGTGATGGATCTACTAAACGAAATAGAACAGTTACGACAAAAATGCTGCTAATGATATTCTGCGACTTCCTGTATGGAATATAATCTGCCGATATACAGAGGATCGTTCCATCTCATAGTTGCTATGCTCTTGGATGACAGAATCAAAACAAAACCAATGACAAGCCTATACAATATGTATGTGCTGAAGAAGAGATGAGGCTCGGAGAAAATACGAGATGGTATGAAAATAAAGACAAAACACCTAAATAACCACTTCTCCCATTTGTGTCGCAAGGGAAGCAGCAAGAAAACAAGGGATGAAACCGGGAAGCGTCAGCACCGCTGGCCGCTGGCAGTTTTTTGTGCAAAGAAGACCTCGGCTGGCGACAAAACCGAGGCTAAGAGGGCGGATACAACTGCCCGTGATGGATCAGCAAAAATAAAGGAAAGACATGCATGATCAAGTAAAAATCAATCCCAACTCCATGAGTCCAGTAACGATAGACGTTGCAATGCGGTAAATGAGCGTCGTCATAATCACAAATCGTATGCTTTTGACAACCTGGTCAACCAACGGCCAGCCACTGGTAAGCGTAAGAAGGGACCGTAAAGATGCGATATATTATGATGGAGAGTAGCAATTAGATGCATGGAGGGAGGTTGTTGCAAAGGAATGAGTGCTGCTGCGGAGAAAGTCTAGTTGTCCCAACCCCACACCTGTCGCACGAAGTTCGCCATGTTGACTTTTTTGTTTTTCATGTCCAGCATCCAAGGATGATCCAGCATCCGCCATGGAGTCGCTCTTCGTGGAGGCTCTTTCTCGAGACTAGGAAAGTTAGGTCCACCGCACGGTCAATGCGAACGCAAATGGGGTCACATACCAGCATTCTATAAAGTACTTGAAGCTATCAGACCAGCGAATACCGTTATCCGGCTCATCCTTCAGCTTCGGAATCGGCTGGCGAACGATGTATGTAAGGAGGTCGATTAACCCAGCGCGGGGCTGCATTTCGGTTCCATCGGCCGGGAAAGGGAAGCGATGCTGGGCAACTTCAAGTAGCGTTACGCCTAGAGACCAGACGTCCGAAGTAATCGTATAAGATTGACCGGTGATCCGTTCGGGGGCCATGTAATAGGAAGTGCCGATGAATGTATTGGCATCTCCCTTGGTACCGAACTCTCCACTCACGCCGAAATCACATAGCTTGACCTGTCCGTTGCGGCACAAGAGAATATTTGACGGTTTGATGTCTGTGTACTAGTCAGTGCATGAGTTACATTGATCACCGTGAGCAACTCGAACCTACCTCGATGGATAATCTTTCTACTGTGCAGATATGTTAAGCCGTTCAATACCCCTTCTGCGACCTTACCCAGCACCTTCTCTCCTGTTCGACCGCCTAGTTTCTTCACTTCTTTGTAGATACTGTCTAGACTGCCCCCCTCACAGAACTCCATTGCGATCGAAATCGTACCGGTAGACTTGTCCATGAATGCACCGTAATACCGACAGATATGCTCTGAGGCACAGTCCTTGTTGAAGTTGAGTTCCCGAACAATCTGCTTCTTCACATCTGGGTTGGGGTCGGTTGTGATAATCTACAACAGCCGCACAGTTAGTGACGAGTGGAAACAGAATATGAAGGTTGAAACCCCTTCGGAAAGAGGAAGAAAGTATATTAAACCCACCTTCAACGCGAAGACCGTCTTTCCCTCCTTGAGCTTGCAACGAGTGACCGCACCTCCCGCCCCCTCACCCAGACTGCCCAACTCCACGATCTTCTTCTGTTCACTGGCCGCGAGCAGCCTTCATCATCTAAATCGTCAACGTCTAGTGGCCTGCCCTTTTCTAAGCTCAGCTTGTCGAGGTCTGGAATTAATCCATTTACGCTGCTGTCACGCTCCATCTGCACACCTCCTTCCCGATCGGAGTAAACCGAACTAATAGCAGAAGACGGATCCGGAGTGCTCCCCTGTGGTTGACGAAGACCCATGGCGAACGACAACGCCGAGTAGTTTGACGATGACGCGGATGCGGGGCCACTGGCCTTTCCATCCAAATAGTTGAAGCTACCTGACCGCGAGTGTCCGTTCGGTTCGTTCAATCCACTGGTGGCTAGAGGCGGGGGAGCTGGGCGACCATTGACTTGTTGGATATTCTTACTGCTGCCCATCGGGGTCGCAAGTCGCAGTTGCGGGGGTGCCGGGCGGGTGGACGGGCGCTGGAGCTGTGGCACTTCGGGGGCTAGAGCGGGCGCTGGGACGGGCGCCGGAGCAGGTATACCGTTACCGGTTACGGGACGAGCGTTGGGTGACGGGGGAATCCCCAAGGTGAGCTTTGGAGGTCGGGGACCATTGCTGTTGTTGCGATTACCCGGCACGGGCGGTTTGAGGAGGGGAACCGCGGGTGTCGACATGGCGAGATTGTCTGCCTCTCCCCAGGCAAGAACAACTCGTTGGGGTCAGCCAAGGTAGCCAGATCGGCGGTATTTGATTTAGACACCTTGAAAAAAAAGGAAGGAAGGGTCAAGGGATAGCGCGAGAGAAAGGAACAGGAAGATGGGTATAATGAGAAGTTGGACGCTCGGAAGAACAGCCGTGGGGCTGAACACGCGGCAAGGCGACTGAGATAAGAGGGGTTGGTTTTCGTTGATCGAGCGACAGAAGAGCGAGCGCGCGAGGACGAGGAGGGGAAATGTAAGCTTAAGTCCTTAAATAATGAGAATTGAAATACAAAGCAAACAAGCGAATGTTTGATCAGAGGCGAGACAACAAAGGTCTCGACTCCCAGGCGAAGAGAAGGTCGTTTAGTATGTAAGATAAGTAGTCGTAGTGGGAGTACCGTACCGTAGTCGGAGTAAAGGGAGGAAGAAAAAAAGGGAAGAAAGGAAGAAAGAAGAGAAAGGAGGAAGGGATGGGGGATGGAACGAAGATGATGACGGTCGGAAAGCGTTTCAATTAATATGATTATGAGGAGAAGAGCGAGAGTGAGAGAGAAAAAAGCCGGATTGGATTCAAGGATCCCAATGGGGCCCGTTTGGTCAAGTTGTCAGTCCGTCAGTCAATCACAAAGTGGCTAAAAAAGGCACGTCGGCGGTTGGACTCAAAAGATTGTAACTCTTGACCTTTTGGACCTCATCCAGCTAATAATATTCCACGGTTCATCCCTCTCTGGGATTAGTGCCAATCATAAGGCTCCGCCAGTGGACACTCGGACAGGCGATGTTGACTTGACTCGGTGGAACCAGTCGGTTTCAAAAGGCGCCTAAAGACCGTTCTTTATTTGATACTTGGGTCTTGGTGCTTGTTCAGCGGCCTTGCGTTCCCTCAGATGCTATTATTATATGCTATCAACCTCGTTAGTTCAGGGACCGACTCCATTTTGAGCACAGAAGCAATTTTTAGGTCCCAGAGTTCTGTCAGTTTGCTTTGTATCTGAGATCCGTCTGTTGGTTCACTTCGTAGCGTGATCTGGTTCCTGAACCCTCAGGCATTTTGTTTTTAGGCATCCATGAACTGGCGCCCCCAAAAAAAGGAAAAAAAGAGAAAAAAAAATAATAATAGAATTTTTCTACATACCATGGAACCACAGTCAGTATCTGATCCGAATTATTCAAGGAATAAGAGACCAAAAAGGAAATCGAGTAAAAATAAAAATCAATTAATTAAATCTCCTAGACTCAAAAATTTCCTAAATTAACCACCAAAATAGATGCTATTCTTGATATTCCTCCGGCGTTAGTGTGCAGGAAGGAATCTGTAGGTTTCTATTTCCGGTCGGTAACAGACTAAATTAAGACCAATCCAGTATCTTTGTGTTCATTTTAGTTTCACTTTCAAACAAACTGCCATGGTCGATGTTTTACATCATCCCCCACTTTTCTGATGAAATGCTTGTTAACTTGAAATCGTAACCGAGCTTGACCAGGAATTATTATCATTATCTGTCATTATCATTAATTATTACCTTCCAAATTAAGTGACGCATTCTCCGGTTCCGAGGAACCATCCGTCATAGCTTCATATCAGTATACATTACTACTACTAGTAGTTTTCATGACTCGGTCTATTAAGACAAATGGTATGACCAGTACTTTTGAGTCGAAGAGACCTTACAGGAGAAATTGAACGCGTCAGCCAATGCCCCGAGTCGACGCATAGGCCTCTCCTCTGTGAGCCAAGGCACGTGCTTCATGTCGGCAGATGATAGAATTAATGCATACTACTGCTGCACATACATCAATACTGTGTATCAAAGCTTTCAGCCCTGTGACAGCGAGCTTGTTCAAGACCAACTCAACTCCAGACTATCCACTGAATCTGACATCATATAGCCACTATTAGCTCATGCCCAAGCTCCCGTACGCCACAATGATCGAGGGAGACGGGAAAAGCACGGAAGCACTGGACAACATGGCAGTAAGACTGATTCGTCGTATCTCGAGTCCGACCCACCACCATGTTTAAAATAGCCCTTCCCCATAAGTGCACCGCCATACACGACGGAGAAGCGTCATAGTCATAGAAGGGACGCCGAATGGGAAGTCCTCCTTGCAGGCTCCGAGGAAAAATCATGGTCCGGTGACGATTTAGAGGGATTTATCGTAATCGTATCCTGGCCAATATCGGTCATTACACCACCATTTATCGGGGAATTCCCTATGTTGCGTCGTTTAGACGATTCACGCACTGACTCGATGCGTCTGAGTAAAATTTGCTACGATTATTGTCGCTACGTCATTGTCATACTCTCTACACTTTTGTTGGTCATCATTAGATAGAAGATATCATATTCACGACAAGTACAAATGAGAAATGCGTACTACTGAGCAAAGAGAACCCTTCTTTGGTAGACGCGCGGCGATGGACGATCCTCGACAAGAAAACCCCACTGGATCAACTGGTTTCCTGCGATGATGGGAAACAGTGAGCGGGAAACGGTGACTCGGGCGCCGACTTAGCACCGCTGTCTGTTCGTGCGCTTCTCTGTGCGGCATGTGCATCGCCTCGGGCACTGACTATGTGGTTTCCAATCTATATGATACATAGTATTTATTTAGTTCTGCTCGTCATACTCCACGAACCTTTCGGGTTCAAGGACAAGACCCTCAACTTGAAAACCGGGGTAACGTCTTGGAAGTCATGGTTGTCCGAACTGTCGACGCTCCGGGGTAGAACGCGCATATCGAGAGTGCGGGCTGCCGTGAATCATTGAACCTTTCCCCTGTTGATCGGTGGAGCCCTGGAACCCAATTGACCACCTTATGTTGCGCGAACGGCCGAACGCACCAATATGCGTTCTCCAAGCCCATCCATAGAGTCTGCGTAGTCTTTGAGGATTGGGCTCTACTCGGTCACCTGGTTGCAACGGGATCATGCCAGATGATATCCTTCCGTTGAGAGATTAACGATCAGTCTATTACTGATTCTAATTTCGAGCAGGCTTCCCCCCTGAACTGTGGGCACTCTCTGCGGAAAGATGAACCCCCCTTTCTTTATCAATTATCCGGTAGACAAGAGTCCTAAAAAAAGAAGCTCTTGAACTCCCTGGGTGGTTTGTACCCACAAAATGTTCCGGAGAAGGTTCAGAGTGCGATAGATTTTTCGATAGTTTGATAACTCTACCAGACTCTATTCTTTGTCGACAATCATGTCTCAGCGTCCTCAGGCCTGGAGGGCTTTTCATAGCTTCGGTCTAGGTTTTGATGGCGCAATCACTCCAATTCTAGGCACCGAGCGCAATATGGGATCCTGTCGAACCACGACTAATCGCTTCGGCACTTTAATAAAAAAAGTTTCTCTTATTGGTATGACTGACACTATACAACGCGATTATCGACTAGCCAGGCGAGGCCCGACCAGGGGGGTAGGTAAACGAATCCTAGTACTACAACTGCGTGCATAACGCTCTCCTTCCCTCCTTGGCAGTCTTAGCATTTGATAAGCAATTAACGACGCTGGCCAGGGTTGTACTAGTAGTTTGTTAACTTCTAACTAGTTAAACGAATCATAGGATGACTAAATGTACAACGCTCTCCTTCCCTTTTTGGCAGTCTTAGCGTTTAATAAGCAATCAATGACGCCGACCAGGGTCTAGTCGAGCCCTAGTCTTGTCGAGTCAAGCAAAATCAGCCAAGCTTCCTTCACGTAATTAACAGGGCTGAGTAGGTACATCGGCTGCGTTTCTAGACCGTCGACAAGGACAGGGATGAGATGAAGAACTTTTACTCGGAGAAACACGATCGTGTGTGGCCAGAACAATGGATCTCGGTCCCCTGTTCGGAGATTTTACCAGTGTGTGTGTGAGATCCATAAGGATTCCCAACGGAACCGGCCGTCAGCACTTTGTACATGCAGTCCCTCGTCCTACGATCATGTTGGGCGCGAGGAAGGGAACCGAGGGATGCAGAGAAGGGTCAAATGATCCTAGAAAATTGACTGGAGCCCCATTTCCTGAATCTTGTGACTGATGGATAGCGGATATGGGCTCTTTCCGTGTAGTCTCTGGTTACAAAAGGAATCGAAAATTTTCTTCTCAAAAATTGATCATTTCTGTCGCAACTTACTACTGCGTACTCCGGAGTAACTACTACTAACTACCTCCCACTGTGAAAAATAATCGAGATAAAAATGGTAGCAGAGAGACAGGGGCTAGTGGGGCTGAAGACCCACTGGAACTTTGGGATTGAATATTCAAGTCATTGGCCCATGGGTGGAGCCCAAGAGCCACAGCGGGCTGTTGGCGACTGGAAGAAGTGGAGCATGGCGTCAGGAACGGATCTACATCCAGGGCCCTGATTGGCCTGACGCAGAAACCTGAAACATCTCTCGGGAGTTGTTCAACGTCCTTGTGGCTTGGCCGATGAAAAGACCTTCCCCTGAAATTGCCCCAGGATGCATGGATGTATCACTCAAGGATTGTTTGGGCGCAGGGCTAATTTCCGGACGGGGGGTTTTTGGGTTTCATGCCGCTAGTGGATGTTACAATGACAATTGTGCAACGGCAACACAATCTCGGCATCCGTCGTATTTGATGCTCTGCTACCGAGTGTGGACTGGACGAGGAGTAGGGTTGGAAGTGTCTGGGATAAAAATACTCGGGTATTGCAGTCCAGTAAATAGTTCATGATGATCTTTCGCCATTCGTCATTATCACTGCATCCAGTAAGTGAGCGACAGATCATCATCGGCGCGCGCTGGACTTGAACCCAAGCAGTGTAAGCATGGACTGGAACCAGCTGTGGCAGCGAAGCTAATCAACAAAACTAGTCCCTTAGCTCCCTGGTAGTGGTTCTTTGCGACGGCCACATCCGCCAACCATGGTGCGTCAAACCGCCATCCCACGAGCCCCATGAGGATGGCGGCCCCATCCAGTTGATGAAGCGCCCACCCATTGGGTTTGGTCGAGGTTGTCTTGTTTCTCCTGGAGAAACACACCGCATTACAGTTCACCAATTGATAGAGCAACGCCAGTATCTGCAGCCCTCTCCACCCGCCTGCAGTCCCCTCTCCCCTTTTCGTCCCTGGGACGATCTCCAGGTTAATCTCCCGGTTCATACAAAGCCTCCAGACTCCCCCGTCCGTTCTTTCGTTTTGTTTCAATCCGTTCTTTCTCTCAAGTCCAAACTTCCTGCTTGAAGCATATCCAACTTTTTTGACTTCGGTCAGCCATTCTTTTTTACCAAACCAACTATCCACACTCTCTTTTTTAGCCCCCCCGCTAAACAACACCAATCAATCAACCTTGACGGTTATATTATCTCGTGAAAACCAAAACCCTACAGTCAAAATGCGTTTCTCTGCCGCCACCATTGCTCTCTTCGCCGGCCTTGTTGCCGCCCTCCCCAACGGTGAGGTCCACACCGTCTACCAGACCGAGGATGTGACCATCACCTCTTGCGCTCCCACCGTCACCGACTGCCCCGGCCGTCAGACCTCCACCCCGGAGGGTGTTGAGCCCGTCGCCACTCCCACTGCTGCTATCACCACTGAGGAGACTCCCGTTGCCCAGACCTCCTCTGCTGAGGTTCCTCCCCCCGTTGAGGAGACCACCCCCGCTGTCCCTGCCGTTCCTACCAGCAGCTCTCCTGTTATCCCCCCTCAGGTTCCCAGCGGCAGCGGTAGCGTCCCCGCTGTTCCTTCCAGCAGCAGCCCCGTCATCCCTCAGCCTCCTCAGCAGCCTAGCCAGGGCACCACCGTCATCGCTGTGACCACCTGCATTCCCACCGTCACCTACTCGACCATCACCGGCCCCGTTGGCACCCCCACCGGTGTCTCCCCCGGCAAGAGCTCTTCCGTCCCCGTGATCGGTACCCCTGCCCCCAGCGGCGGTGCTACGTAAGTTTCTCTCTCTCTTTCCCCAACCTCCAAACTTGAGGACAACCACAAACTAACAACGATTCCAGCCCTTCCTCTTCCGGTCCTACCTCTCTCTTCACCGGTGCTGCTAACACCGTCGGCCAGTCCTTCGGTCTTGCCGGTGCCGCCGCCGCCGCCGCCTTCTTCCTGGCCTAAATTCCCTTCTTGTCCATAGTGTAGCCCCGGTTCACTCGTGAGTCCGGCTCCGCTGCAGGCGGGGGAATCTAGTAATGGACGTTCTGTGTGAATGATACCCGAGTTGGACGGGGTGTGTCTTTAGTTCTTTTGTGTGGTTTTGGGGAGAGTTAATACCATTTGACTTCTTATGCTTCATATTTCACATACTCTTTATACCTCATTTTCTTTTTCTTTATTACTCTTCTTGGCCTGGCTTTCTGGACTGCTTCGAAGATGTGGAGCAGTTTGATCGCTGTTTACGATTTAATGTAAACCATGATGCTTTGACAACCTTTTCGTCACTTCCAATACCCTTGATCACCTCCGTAGTCGCCACATATAGTGCTCCCAGCGCAACCACTACACTACACGACATACAAGTAATACTCAATCGACAGAACCCCCTCAATCCCCATTCTATACAGAACCCAGCATCCCAGACCCGACGCGAGATCGCCAACCCAACCAGTAGTAAGTACCCAACTTTCCCCAGATTCGATTCAGCCACCCCCCTCAAAACAGCCTCTCGGCCGCCGCGTCAGATTACACATGAAAAGGGACCCGCTCGTCGCAGATCGGAATCTACCAGGGATGAGATGAGATGAGATGTCGATTTCCGATTCCAATCTGGGGGCGCAGGTTTCGGATTGATTACAGTGGGAAGTGGACGTGGACATGACAGACTA